CTCCTTTTGTTTCTCTTTCCAATGTATTAGGCACACGTTTCTAAATGGTCACACTTGACCCCGACCTTTTCCATTCTCACTCGAGTATTCTTCTATTACGAGTGTACGGATATTGGTATGAACGAAAATAACCAATCGAGCGGGACACATCGCTCCTTTCGTAACGATTTTTCTTCTCTCTACCTCTTTTTTTTCTCTCTTTTTTGTTCTTCTTTTTTTTTCTTTTTTTTTTTTTTTTTTTACTAACCTTTTCGTTTCTTTTTTCCATTTAACTCCAGGCCCATCTCTCTTGTCCCCACATAACCTCCATCTTGCTGCCATTACAATCACCGATATCATTACTACGACGATCGATCGATCGATCGATATATATCTGTCCATCTCATCTCGATAAATTACTTTTGCGTACAATTTTTGAATGATTATACTTACTTAACGCTTATCATTATAATCGAACGAAAATAAAATTGCTTATGTCGAAGAATTAAACGTATTTACGTAAATCATTATTCTAGGAATAATGAAGATTAGGACTTTATATATTTTTTCTCGACGTAATGAATTAAATCGATTGAAATCATCGATATCATTTTAATTTCAATTGATTGACTTTTATTTAATTATATATAAAAGGATTTATATTATTCGTAATTTTATATATACATATATATATATATATATATATATATATATATATATATATGAAATAAAATAATATTTAGTTAAATAAATAAATAATATATAAATAATCAAATAATATATTAATAAAATGATAATAAATATACATATATATATATATATATATATATATATATATATTATTAAATTATATGATATATGTATTATATATAATTTTATATATTAATTTTATAAATTAATAAATTAATATATATATATATGTTCGTTACAAATCCAGAAATATAAATGTTTGCTAGGATTATAAAAGGCAACCAAGTTTCTGAATATATTTAGCGTATAAGTAGAAGCAAAAGGAAACAATAGTCTGGCGTACTACCGTATATGTATGAGTAAGAGAGAGAGAGAGAGAGAGAGAGAGAGAGAAATGGCGCGACTTCCAGAAATGGCCGATCCAAAAATAGTGAGATAATATACATAAATATACCTAATATATATAACACGGAATCTTCGATCTATTTGTAAAAAGGAAAGACGATAGAATGACAAAAATAGTAAGTTAGAAAAGGATGATACTAAAGATAGCCGAGTCGATCAATATTCCATTCGAATTTTCTTACGTCGGTATAATAGCGAGACGTCTTTCTCTCTCTCTCTCTCTCTCTCTCACTCTCTCTCTCTCTCATTCACAGCACGTACACTCATTCTCTCCCTTTCTCACTTTATCGTATATCTCGTATATCTCGTTTTACCGACAGGACCAGTCGGTTATTTCCTAGGATATAAATATTTCGTTTTACCGACAGGACCAGTCGATTATTTCCTAGGATATATATATATCTCGTTTTACCGATAGGACCAATAGGTTATTTTCTACGAAACATATATATATATATATAGATCCTTCTCTTTTATTCGTGCATTTAATGAGAGAAAGAGTGAAAGACATGTATATATACATACGTGTACTGTATACAGCAGAGACATACAGCCAGACAGACAGACAAAGAGAAAGAGAGAGAGAGAGAGAGAGAGAGAGAGAGAGAGAGAAAGAGAGAGAAAGAGAGAGAAAGAGAAAGAGAAAGAGGGAGAGAGAGAGAGAGAGACGTTTCCAGTCGCAACTATTTATAATGATGGCGGCCGGCTCGTGTTGTACCATGCTACCGTTTCTCTTTCTATCACGTACCACTCTATCTTCGTCCGGTTAAAAGAGGGACCGGTTCGATTGAAAGGTTCGTTAAAAAACAGTGCCGTGCGTAAAACGTTCACCACATTCGTTCGTGATTACGTTCTCACGTTATATGAATACTCTACGTGTATTATTGAATATATCTTCGTTTCGATATATATATATATATATATATATATATATATATATATATATATATATTTCACTTCTTCATCTGGCATTAAAGAGAAAAGTGCCGAAAATAGAACGAACGCAAGGTCGCGAGGTCTCCTCTCTCTTTCTTTTCTCTCTCTCTCTCTCTCTCTCTCTCTCTCTTTCTATTTCTATTTCTTTAGCTCTTTGTCATTTGTTTCACGAAGCGCCGCCAAACGGACGTCAGAGACGATACACGGTAAACAACACCTACACGAACGCGACACACACCGGATAAATACACTTTTATGTATATATATATATATACATACATATATAAATATATATAGACATATATACATAAACCCATAATATATATATATATATCGCATAGATAAATACATACGTCATTGGTTGGTAACGTAACGTAATGTACGGTAGTAATGTACCGTAATGTAACGTAAAACGACGCGGCTAGTGCCGCCTAACGCGACCTGTTGCCATATTTTTTTCTTTTACTCTCTCCTTTTTCTTTTTTCGTAC